GGGGGCGGGGGCTGACCAGCAGGAGGGAAGCAGGCTCTGGGCTGAGAAGGGCACCCTGGTGAAAGGCTGGTTCTGATTTCTAAAAGGCTCCTGCCTCATGGCCAGGCACCCACTGCTCCTATCTTAGACCCTCAGGGGTACAGCCAGTTCTACATGGAGCTTCTCAGTCTCCGTGGAAGAGTCTGGAAGGCCTGTTTCAGAGCTCCCCGCAGGCACACACATATGCGCACAGACATGGGAATGATCAGGAAGTTGTGGACACTCTGCCCTTTGCCCAGGGGAGGGCACCCCCACCCCCTTCCCAGCTCAAAGGGGTCAAAGGGTAATACTGCCACAAAAGAAAGACACACCCAGCCCAAGTTCCACCTTCGTTTCCACCTCTCTTGGGACTCAAGAAAGATCCCAGCAGGCCCAGGAAATTTCAGCTTTTCAGTCCAGGGGGACGTTGCCTCCCCCAATTGCTAATGCATGAAGGAAGTGTGGGTACAGCCTCAGACTGACCAGTATGAGGTCAAGGTCATAGGGGTGGCCGAACCTGTAAAACGGGGCCTCGCAGAGAGATAGGTAGAGTTCCTGGGTCAGGGACAGGAAACGTGAACATCCCCTTACCAGCTGTGCTCCAGCTACTGGACCTCTGCCCAGTACACAGAGACAGCAGGGGAGGTGCTGGGCCCCCCGAACACCCTGCCCCAGGCAGCCACCGGAACTCAGTCAGGTGTGGTCCCCACTGGGCCCCATTATGCCAGCTGGAAGCTCTAGCTTGTTTAAGGAATGGCTGGTTCTGATTGTGACTGTGGCTTTGACAAAGCCTCAGAGCAGAGACATCCACTCACATGGTATAGGAGCAGGAAGAGCCCCTGACACCTCAATGGCCAGGAAAGGGCTGGGGGAAGGAGGTCCAGACTCCTAAATAGGTTCACCCCACAAGGAACCCTTTTGTCTTCCCAGGACCTTCCCCAAACAGACCAAACCGGGTATGAAGCAGAACAGTCCTTTCTGGCCAAAGGTTTGCCTCTCCAGTGCTTGTTATCCCGGGCGAGCCCAGCCCCAGCCCAGGTGGGCAGAGGGGACATTCTGGAGTGTGGCCAGCGATGTGCTGATCTCTCTCCATCTTTCCCCAGTCACACTGAGAGCTTGCTGGCCACTCTATGCCTGGGCTCTGCTCAGCCATTTGGAGGAGAGCGGGATGTGGTCAGCTCACCCCCAGAGCCCCAAGGCCAATGGAGAGGCCCAAATCACAAAGCGGACAGCTAAGTTAGGGAACTTCCCAGAGCCAGTGGGAAGGCCCCCATCTGAGGGTAAGGAGTGTGTCCCAACCCCAGGCCTGGCGTGTGCAAACATGTGGGTACAAAGTGTGTCACATTCCAAGCACGGAAAGTTCACATCAGCTACAGCCAGGGCAGGGCCGACGGGACATGAAGAGAGGGTGGACGCGACTTTCCGAACAGTCCTTGCCCCTGTGAACCCTGTTTCTGGCCTCTCACCCAGGAGCCTGAGAGCCACGTGCTACTTCCGCTGCTAACGCAGACTCCTCTGTTTGCTTTTCAGGAGTAAAGTTCAACATCAGGCTACAGCAGCCCCACAACGTGAGTTCTGAGAGAGAAATCTCTGCATGAGCAGCCTGGGGAAAGTTGGAGAGGGCAGGGAAGAAACTTTGGAGTTCACAGCAAACCCAACCTTGGAAAGGAAAATGTGTCCGGCCTTTCTCAGGAGCCTTAGGAACGAAACCAAGGGCTTTGGACCCATGAATTTCCCTTTCCCGTTAGTTGGTGGCTGTGGAGTGAGCTATTTGCCTCAGTCAATCTGAGCCAGTCTCCTTCAGGCCTCCAGGAATCACCCCTCCCGCTACCCGCCGCCAGGCCGAGGTTCCTGGGAGGCTTGCGCCATCTTGTGGCCAAAACAACAATTGCACCTCAGACCATGGTCAGAGGAGAGGAAGCGGGCTGCAGGGACTGGGCCGGGGCTCAGATCAGAGGGGATCGCCTCTTGCAGAGTCAGCTTGTCTCTCTCCCCCTCACTTGTAAAAAACTCGGGTGACAGAGGGGGCTGGGACCCCTGACCTGTGTGACACTCAGTGCCCAGCCGTCCTGTCCATCCTGGTAACCATTTCTCTTCTTGCCCCAGGACTTCCCACCAGGCAAGTCTCAGGATGGTGATTTTAAGACACCCACAGAGAAGGACACCCGAGACTTGTCCAGCCAGGCACCGATAGGCCTCAACCTGCTGGTGCCTGACCGAGCTCAAGCCCACCTAAACAGAGGGGCTCGTCTGCGCCCCCGGCAGCGCCGCCGGCGGCTGCTTATCAAGAAAATGCCAGCAGCGGCGGCCATCCCGGCCAACAGCTCGGCCGGTACCTTTGTCCGGCCAGCATCCCGGGCCCTGGACAGCCGTTGGGTCAGCCTGCACCAGAGGCAGCAGGAGCGCAAGCGGGTGATGCGGGAGGCGTGTGCCAAGTACCGGTCGAGCAGCAGCCGCAAGGCCGTCACGCCGCGTCACGTGTCGCGCATCTTCGTGGAGGACCGCCACCGCGTGCTGTACTGCGAGGTGCCCAAGGCGGGCTGCTCCAACTGGAAGCGGGTGCTCATGGTGTTGGCGGGGCTGGCCTCGTCCACCGCCGACATCCATCACAACACCGTCCACTACGGCAGCGCCCTTAAGCGGCTGGACACCTTCGACCGCCAGGGCATTCTGCATCGCCTCAGCACCTACACCAAGATGCTCTTTGTCCGCGAACCCTTCGAGAGGCTGGTCTCCGCCTTCCGCGACAAGTTCGAGCACCCCAACAGCTACTACCACCCCGTCTTCGGCAAGGCCATCCTGGCCCGGTACCGGGCCAACGCCTCCCGGGAGGCCCTGCGGACCGGCTCTGGGGTGCGCTTCTCCGAGTTCGTCCAGTACCTGCTGGACGTGCACCGGCCGGTGGGCATGGACATCCACTGGGACCACGTCAGCCGGCTCTGCAGCCCCTGCCTCATCGACTATGACTTTGTGGGCAAGTTTGAGAGCATGGAGGACGATGCCAACTTCTTCCTGAGCCTCGTCCGCGCGCCGCGGAACCTGACCTTCCCGCGGTTCAAGGACCGGCACTCGCAGGAGGCGCGGACCACGGCGCGGATCACGCACCAGTACTTCGCCCAGCTGTCAGCCCCGCAGCGGCAGCGTGCCTACGACTTCTACTACATGGACTACCTGATGTTCAACTACTCCAAGCCTTTCGCTGACCTGTACTGAGGGGCGGGGCGGGGCCGGCCGGCGGTGTGCGCCCTGCCCACCCACTCACCTGTCCGCGGGGCAAGCTGCTCTCGGCGGTTCCTCAGCCAGGAGTCAAGATGTTCCCAGAGCAACGGGCGCCCTGGGGACGCGAGATGCCCTCGCTGCTGCAGGCCCTCAGGCCTTGGCTGGGTCCCCTCATCCCGTAACCGCTTCCTCGCTCCTCGGCTGAGGAAGATGCTGGGAGGTGAGCTGGACACCCCAGGAGTCTCAGCCGCCCACACCCAGCCCAGCCAGGAGTCAGGCTGACCAGGGAAGTCTGCGGCCGAGAGGACGAGGGCCCAGCGGTAAGGGACTTATCGCAGTCCCTTAGCCATTGCCTTGTACCAAACCGCACGGTTTGCAGCTTTTCTACGATCCAGGGGGAGGTTCCCTTGGAACGAGGTTCCAAATAAAGCACATGGTTTCCAGAGCAGCAGTGTCTACACTCTGTGTTGGCGTGGGAGCAGGCGGACCCTTACCAGTTCCATCCAGGGCTCTGTCACCCACCCCAGGACAGCCTGAGCCAGGCGACAACAGGCCCAGCTGCATGAAAGTCCAAGGCCGAAGTAACCTGTGTGGAGCAGGGCACGCGGCAGCTCCCATTGGGAGCCACAGCAGCACCTCGCACTCAGGTCTCTGAGGCGAGGACTCAGTCACCTGGGTCCTCCTGTGCTGACACAGTCATCCTGAAAGGGGAAATAGACCTATCCCCATGGAGGCCTACTGTCAGGGGTCCCTTCTTGTCAGTGTACTTGGGGGAGGGGGGTGAGGGCCTTCTGAGGACCGCCAGAGCAGTGACAAGCTCTGGCAAGCTGCCATTTGGGGCTGCTATGGGGTCAAGGGGACACTGAACATGGGTCTCAGTGGGTGTGGCATTTCCGGGCGGGGAGTGATGCCATCCCTGGCTTTCTGAACCTCTGGGCTAAGCAGGGCTTTGGCCCAAAGCTGACATCTGCAGAACCCCTGACCCTGGGCTCGATCTCTGTCTCCATTCACCTGACAGAACCACCTCAAAGCTGTCGGGACTGCCTACGTCTAGGGGAACCAGCTCTGGGGAGGGGAGGAGAAGCTGTAGAGAAAACTTCTCCCAAAGCACACATTTTCACATGGAGAAATAGTTCTGAAGTTATCAACAGCCAGGGGGATTCCTGAAAGTTTTCCGAGAAAGTGTTGGAGCTTTGAGTGTGTGTGACTGGCTGTTTGGGTCTGTTTTGTAATGGGGGGTGCTGCCTGTGTCTAGGGGGTCTGTCTCTGTCTGCCTACTTTCAAGTCTCATTTCTGTCGACCTGTGTCTGCTGTGTCTGCCGCATGCCCTTAAGAACTTTTCTGTGAATCTCTCCCAGGAAATTGCTCTCAATCTGTCCCCACTTGCCAGGGGAGACGCTGCTGGGCCCTGAGAAGAAGATGCTGTGGCCCCTTAGGTGGGACGTGCTGCTGGGTCCCACTCTGGGTTTCTCTTTCTGCCTCCACCGTGGGCTCTGGACACTTATAAATGCAAAATGAGGAGTTGAGGCTGCCACCTGCCTGCTTGGGCCACACGCATCCAAGAACCCTGAGCAGGGCAAGGGCTTCTACTCAGGTACCAGCTGGAGTGGCCTGGGCCATCTGACAGAAAGAACCCAGACAGGCAGGGAGCAAGCTGTGGTTAGGCCCCGAGGGACTCTCGGGCATGGAAGGCAGAAAAGCAGAAGCCGAGAGGCTGAGAGCCAGAGAGCCCACCCACCCGCACCCTGGCCAGGCCTGGGTCAGTGCGAGAGGAGACGGGGGTGGCCAATGACGACCCAGGAATAGCCACCCCTGCGCTGCGATGCCCATGAAGTAAGAATTCACAGGGCAGAAACTGTGGCTCTGGTCATGGATGCATTTGGACAAGGCTGAGGCAGTGTCACCGGTCATCTGCTCAGCAAAGGGGGTACCTGGATGCCTGGTTAGGGTTGTCTGCAGCTTGGAGACAATTTGGACCGCTCTGGGACCATCCTCCCCCAGTGCGAGTGTGTGTGTGTGTGTGTGTGTGTGTGTGTGTGTGTGTGTGTGTAAGGTAGAGAAACACAACTTTGCTTGTGTCATCTCTCAGACCTGAGTCAGGTAGATGTACACAGGCAACATACCCATCAAAGAGGAGCTTTCCTTCTGGGCGGTGATGGCAGGTAGCACAGCCCAGGCAATGACCATGATCACCACTTGATGGCCCCTAGCATGATTCCCACAGGTACAGTCCTGAGCCTCACCCTGAATCCACTGAGGTGGTTCTGAACCCAGCTCCGGCTCCCAACCCCAGCCTCAAGCCTTGTACAGCCCTAGGTCTTGGGGATGGTGGACCTAACTGCCAATACAGGAAAGTGTGTGGGGGAAGGGGCTGGGAGGGGTGAACATGTGAGTCTCTATCTGCCTGTGTGTTGTCTGTGTCTGTGTGTGTGTCTGGGTATGTCTGGGTGTGTGTCTGTGTGCCTGTGAAGGTGTGTGTTTCTGTGTCTGTGTGGGTGTGTGTGTCATGTGGTAGGTGTCTGTCTCATAGGTATCTCTGGTGGGGTGAGGAGACGTGTACATGTGTGTGAGCCTGTATAACATGTCACGGTTGGGGGGGGCAGCTCCCTTCCTCTCTGGGACCGTCTTCCCAGAGAGAAGGGGAACCATGATGCTCGCTCCTGCCCAACTCCGCCCCACTTCATTTGCCCCCCCTTTTGTGGGTATAGTCTAGAGGGAAGGTGTGTCTGGATTAGGGCCACAGGTTCCTCCCAGGGGTCAAGCAGGCCCACCAAGTTGGGAAAACAACCACCAACCCCCCAGTGCCCTTCTCTGGCTTGGTCCTCCAAATGGGGGCGTCTCTGGGGCAGCCACAGGCCTTTGTCCTCAGAGCAGCTGAGACGTCCCCAGACCTGAGCTCTGCTCTCTGAGTGGTGAAGATAATAGATGTACCCCAAAACCTAGAGTTCCCTCTGAGGCCTGTGAGCCCCAGAAGCTCTGGAGTCCACTGAGGAGATGAGATGTAAGGTCCATCCAGGAGGTCAGGTGTGAGATTCAGGCACGTCTGGCCTCTAGGACACAGCCGAAACCTCCTCCTCCCTCTGCCCCCGACATGGGCCCAGAACAGAGATGGACAGGCAGTAGATGGGGACAGTCCTCCAGCACCCCCTGTGCTTCCGGGCAGGACCCATTTACCAATACACTCCCTCAGTAGGATGTGGCATCCGAGCCTCAGGAGAATCCGAAGGCCATCAGGTAGTCTCCCCTCCCCTCCCCCATCTCCTCTTAGCTCTTCCTCTCTGGGGAGCACTCATCAAGGAAATTTCTTCCTGGCATCTCTTCCCCATCCCACCCAAGTGCGGCAGGACCCAATGTGGGCCACTACTAGCAAAGACAGCGCTTGGCCACCAGGGGGAGCTAAGTCCTCGCTCCTGAGCAGCCGCCTGGATATCCCCGGCCAGCCCACGAGGTGGCAGCAACAGCCGACTATGTGCAGCTCCGCCCAGGGCAGAGCATCCCCTAGACCCATAAGAGAAGGCGTCCCCAGCCTCCCACCCTAGTTGGCGGTCTTTTGCCCTCTCTCTCTCTCACAGCTATGGGGTCACTGGAGCCCTGCCTCTGCAGCTGTCTCTGGACAAACCCTGGAGGTCATTCTGGAACCCACCAGCTCCAGGGGACCCACCTACCCTAAGACCAAGCTCCCAAGTGTTACCAGCACCCTCACCTTTCACCTTGGACAAACCCTGGGGGTCATTCTGGAACCCACCAGCTCCAGGGGAGCTCCCAAGTGTTACCAGCACCCTCACCTTTCACCTGAGTCCAGCGGGGCGAAATGTCCCCGGAATTCCTTGCAAGCACCGACTGGTGAGCAGGGGGGGTACAGTGCCTCAAAGGGCCAAGTGTCACCAGGGGTGGCTTTACTCGCCTCTTTGGGAAGCTTAGACTAGGGGTGCATTCTGCTCTGCCCTACAACCTGTGCACTACTCCTTCTGTCTCAGTCCCCTGGCAAACCCCAACCTGGCCCACCCCCTCCAGTCTGCCCCCCAGTGCCGCAAGAGGTAAGGGCTCAGTGTGCTTTACTTACATTCATGATCACAAACCTCACAGGGCCGGCGTTTGTCTTCCTCTCTCCATAAGGGTGACGTCAGGCCTTCTGTGACCACAACACACACACACTCGACACATATGACATGCCCACACACACAGAGACACGTGTAGACGCGCCCATACCCATCCTCGCAAATACACATCCAGACCCAGAGACACATCCATGGACACACAGATACAAACATACATGCAGACACATACACACACTTGTGACACAGACACACATGCACAGAGCCCTAGGTGGGCATGGACGCAGAGGGACACACATTCACACACTTATGCAGACGTGATCAGCACACCCACACAGACATCCACAGAAAGGTGCACAGCTTATGTTGTATCTCTTCCTGCAGTGAAATAAAAGAGAATGAGCAGAAAGCTCCTGTCTAATGGCAAAATTATGCTGCTTCTGCACTGACCCCTGCTCTCCATCTCCCCTACCTGCCCTTTCAGGGGTCACCCCTCCACTCCCTCTTGCGTCCCCAGCCCTTTGCCTCCTCCTCATGCACTCGCCTCTCTCTCTGCTGGGTCATCAGCCTTTACATTCAGAAAAAAGAAAAGGCCTTAGCTCCATGTCCCCTCCAGCTCTGGCTCCATTTCTCCTCCCTCCCAGCAGAACTGGTCCCACTGCCCTAAGCTTCTGCCAGCCTTTCACTCTTCAACCCACTGTGGTCCGCCACCACAGAGATGGGGCACTTCTGCGTCTTCACTACCTCACGTTCTAAACTGGACAGATACTCCTGTCTACACACTTCCCGGACAAGCTCAGCCAGTTTCACACTGATATGCGGCTGCCTTCCGAATTTGCACCTCTGGCTCTGCCTCGCTGCCCAGCCCACACCTCTGCTGGCACATCTAAGGGCACCGCCACTTCCCACGTCACGCCTGAGCCTCGCGTCTCTGTCACTCCAAGCTTTTCCTCCGCCAAGCTTCTCTCCCAGCCCTCGATCCTGAATCGGCCCTGGGTTCCTCCCCTTCACGCTGCTGTGCTCTCTGCCGGCTGAGTGAATCCTTTTCCTCCTCGCTAGTGCCTTCCTTCATCGGGACCCAAGCCACC